CTGCTATGCAGCCTCTAAACAACTGCTTGTATTCTCTGTAGTCTCTTAAGTTTGCATCTGAGACACCCAGACTCTGAAGAACACCGTAATTAATAATCAACCATTTATTCATGAGAGGGTGGAAACAACAACAAAGAAAAGTGCTCAGAAACAGGTGAGAGTTTCTGCATGGGACAGTGCATGGCTTAGGAGTGGAAGATGGGACTCACACTGTAAAATAAATGTCAGAGCCTAAGAAAAGAGGATCCACCATAACCTCAGTGAGGAGTTACCGCTCCCTGCAAACAGCAGGGGAAAGAACTCAGCTTTGAGCAGTGAGAACCTTGCTGTGGCTACAGAGACCACAGACATGCCCCAGGAGGCAGAGAGGCACTGGGGAAGACAGCAAGTATTACTCTTGAGGAGCAAGCTCCACCAAAGCTGCTTCCTCTTTCCATCTCCACACCTCTGCCTTTCACCCTGCGTCAGGCACAGTCCTCTGCCAGTGCAGGGCACAGCACTGCACAGGGATTTTTCTCCAGCTCTACCAGCCCTGCAAGCTCCAGCAAGCACTCCATTGGGGACAGCAAACCACCCACACTCCTTCAAATGCAACAGGGAGGAAAATAGGGCTCTCTCTGAGCTGAGCTCCACCAGCAAACCCAAACCCTGTCACCTCCTGCTGCTCCAGCCTCTAAGGATTCTGAGAAAATGTGGTAATTTTGCATTTAAAAGAAAATATAAAGCACTGGGGAAACTGTGCATCATTAAAAACCTCTCTGGAGAAAGAATGGGAAAGGGAAGCAGACTTCCACCACCGCTATTTCTAATCTGATGCCTAGTGCTCACTCCACAGATAAAGCTTTCAGAGGCTCCTTCAACTCTGAACAGCTTTGGTAATTCAAGTAGTAAGTCTTGTAGTTTCAGCAACTTAACCCCCTCATTACATTCAATTAAACATGAATGTAGTCCTACTGCAGAGATAATGGACAATGTCTACTCTCTTACTTAAAAACAATAAAATGTATGTTACACAAATTTGGTGGTCAAAAAAGTACTTTCTGAAGGAAAAAAACACACTAATCTCTCTGATTGTTCCTTTTCTCCATATTTCACTCTCTACAGGGGCATCTATTTCTTTGCTACTCCTGACAATTAGTAGGCATCTAGATAATATAGCCTTTTTTTCCCAAGGTTTTTGTGCTGTTGTTTGTTTTTAGAGATATTTAAAAATCCTTGTAGTAGGAGAGCTATACTACATATTAAAACATAACACCTCTGTTCTTCAACTGCACTAAAGCAGGAGTCAGCTACTGAATATTCAGAGCCAACATAAAAACATGTTAGAAATTGAACAAGGCCCCCACCAAAATACCCATTTCTCAGCAGAGAAAAAAACAAAGAGAAAGCCCCAACAGGCCTTGACACTGTGCTATACACTTCCCAGGGAATGCTTGCTCAAAAAACAAAGACTGAAAATTTAGTAAAAAAAAAAAAAAAAAAAAGATGTAGAGAAGAGACTGTGTCCATCACTAAATGCAGGAAAGGAGCCACTTAGTTTTCATGGTACCTCCAAAGCATCTGCTTAAATATCCTGAGAAAGTTTGAAATGAAAGTCTTGTAGGACCTGTAATTTCTCTATATTCTCTTAAGTGAAGAGTAAAACTTTTGAAAAGGTTTAATTTGGTTTCGTCTGGCTCAATGGAAAAGTGTAAAATGCAAGGACAAAGAAAAGTTACAGAAATTAACTAGAAAGTCCAGAGCAAGTGGTCCACAAAGTAATTCCTTTCACACTCCCATCACCAGTCTATTCTCCAGTAAAACTGCTTAGAAAATGTATTTCATAGCCTGGCAGTAGAGGCTTCCATCCAAAGCCATGAGAAATGCCTCATTTTTCAAATGGCAAATGACATGTTGATACAATGCAACAATCTCTTACACTACATAATGCTACACACCAGCAATAAGATATAAGAAATGGAGAATTTTCACTCCAGACTACCTTCAGATTGGGAGAAAAATTGAATGCTAGCAAACAAAACCCACTTTTTGCTGTAGACCATTCCATTATATAAACTGGAATAATCCCAACTGCTTCTATTTCAAACAACTTCATGCAGAGAAGTCAGGCCAGGCAGTGGAATTCTGCATCTGCACCAGGATTTTACCCCAAATAACAGAGGTGAAAAGGTGAATAGCAGAGCAAACCTGGGCTGCTAAACCAATTAAGCCTCTCTTGAAAAGGAATCCAAAACAACAGCAAGAAGTTGGATACTACAAAGTATCCTTTCCAGAGGGATTTCATTACACTTGGCTTTCTTCCTGGGCTGGGGTCCAGGAATATCAGCACTGCCTTACTTCTTTTCAAAAAATAAATTGCTTTCATAATGTGCACCTTGTGCACTGCATTGAAATAGACAATCCTTAATCTTGACTTTTTTCTTCTCTTCTGATCTCTCTTCCCTGAATAGCATGAAACTAATTTTTAAACTTTTTATCAGAAGCGTGAAAACTTGTGAATTCCAAACAAAAATCTTACAAAAGGCAGAAATACCTTTTCTTGGTAGTTCAGGGAGGTGTACCCACTTTATGAGGTACACCAAGGAGTGTACAAAAACCCTAAGACAATCACAGACCCACTGAAAAATGGTAAGAGTAAAGCCTAACCTCTACTGAAAATCAGCTCAGGAAATTTTTATATACACTGTGGGGAAGGAAGGATAGAGATACTCAAAGAAATCACCATTCCCATAGAGAACTCAAAGGCTTTTCTTTCAGAAAAAAGTGTGTGTCTAAATATTTTAAAATTACTCCTTTGATGTGCCTTTTGACTGCTTCCCTACCCCAGAGGAAATTTCTCATGCCTTTTTATCCTTGTCACTTCACTCACCATGTCTGACTTAGATCATGTCTAATGGCAATGATCTGGTGAGTCTGATCTGACTTCAACCAATACTGAGAGAGGGTAATTTAAATAAATACAGTATTTATGTCTTTGTGATTCAGAGTCATGAGAATTTAGTAGATAGATCTCTCTTTATTACCAGATGCCCATCCGGAAGGTGCTGTTTTATTTGGCTTTTTGAATGACATTAAGTGGCTTCTGGAAAACATAGGTTTGTTCGGGAAACTTTGAGCACTGTCACACCTTACCAGGCAGATTAAAATCTTTGAAAGGTACTTCTAACCTCTGCTGTAATCTCTGCTTTGCAAAGGATACCCAAAGGAGACCATGGCATTTTCACAGAGGCCACCACAGATTTGGCTATAGTCCTGGGTGCATCCGATTCAGCTCTCAGGGCCACTCTAGACACACTTCAGCTGCTGAGCACAGCCGTGCCCGCTGCCTTCCCAAAGAGCCTGTGACTCTGGGTGTGGACTGACATCTGGCCAGAGTGGATTTAGTGACTGAGCCAGGAGGGCAGCCAGTCACACTCCTTCAGCTCTTCTGAGCTGTCCTGACCCAGTCCCTATTTCTGTTGCCCTCAGCCACTTTATCAGCCAGATCTGCTCACCAGTCTGGCTCACTGGCTGTGCCTGCCAAGGGGGTAAGAACAGAGGTTCTCACAGCAGCCCTTGTGCTCTTTAGCTGGTGCTTCCTTTCACCTCCATAGCACTTTACAGCTTCTAAATATTATATTCATGCTAGATCATAAAAGTTGAATGTTTCCTCTGCTGCTTAAACAGCAATTTAAGAGAGCAGCTTGAACTACTATGCCTCGTAAAAATTGAGCTTGTCACAGAGGAGAAGGAAAAACATTGTAAGCTGTAATTGTTCTGAGAAAATGTTGCTGCAAGATACATAATCCAATGTGACACTTGAAGTTCTTGTCACGGAGCGTTTGATCATAAAAAAAATTATTATTTCCAAGGTCTATTTTCACATCAGTGCACTACACATCCTGTCAGAACAAATAGTGCACTAATGCAAATGACAAATAAAAAGTATTTTCACAGCCAAAGTATTTCCATTCCAAGAATAACTGTAAAAATAGAGCTACTGAAGGTGAGTGTAACCGTGAGAACAGTGTGTCATAATATGAATTATATTTATCAGCAGAGGACAGTATGGGGTTATTACACCCCCTTAAAACAGAAAAAAAAAAGAAAAAAGGAGAAGACTGACCTGTCTTTTCCACCCTGTGTTTCAAATACCAGCTGTTAAACAAAGGCTCAGAGATGTCTATCAAAAGCGAACCACACACCTGAACATGTCACACCACTAGGGATAGCACTGGATTGTCCTAGAAAGCCACAGCACTGCAGCTGTGGGTGAGGAACAGCCAGCCAAGTGAATGCACCCATGGAGATCTGTGCTGAAACCACCCTTGAGGTTACAGTGCAGCCCCACAACGTGGCCAAAGCCTTTTCAATCAACCAAGGGATAGCAAAAGAGGACTTTTCACCAGCACTAGATTATGTATGTTGCCCTACTGTAAAGGACAGGAGCTAGAAGGTGAATGAAATAGCTGTATATTAGAGTGTGGCCTTGGTAATAAAAGGGGTGCAAAGGAGGAAAGTTGCTTTCTGTGCAGGAAAACGCATCTTTGCCTACTAAGAACCAGAGCCCAGAGAGCGAAAGGACGCGTATACATGCTGTGTACGTGGGACATGCGACACACGAACACAGCTTTGCCTTGGGCTTGACCCGGCCAGCCGGGGAGCAGAGCGCCTGGCTCTGGCAGGGCTGGGAGCACACACCAGCCCTCAGGCAGCGCTCCGCACACCCTGCGACACGCGTTACCGTCCTGCCGGCTGGGCACGGAGCACTTGGACCTGGATCACCCGCATCACCCCATGCCAGGCCGGTGTCCCGGCAATCCAGCTCCCGCTCGGCAGCCGTCGCGCTCCAGCGCTGCACATGGCGAAACCCCGGCTCCCGTCGGGGCTGGGCGAGGAGCGCGCTCCCGGGCGCGGATCGGGAGCCGCCTCACCCGGCCCCTCGGTTTTGTCGGGGTCTCCCGTGGCCCCGGCCCCGCCGCTCCCGGCCCCGCTCCCCGCTCCCCGTCGGAGCAGCTCACCCGCGCAGCGCAGGCCCTGCGAGAGCACGAAGCGGCAGCACAGGTCGCACCACGCTCCCGCCGCCGCCGGCCCGAAGCGGTGCGGGGGCTCCGGCGGCGCCTCGAAGCGCTGCCCGCCTCACGCACACGGCAGCCGCGGGCGAGGGGAGCGGGAGGCGGCGGGGGCCGAGGAGGCGCCGCTCCGCTCCGCGGCCTCCCCCGACCGCCCGAGCCCCGCCGCCCGTCCGCCGCCCCGCGCCCGGCAGGCACAAACTCCGCAGCATTCGGCACAAACGCGCTCCGGGCGCTGCGGCAGCCCCTGGCACCGGGGAGCTGACAAGAGCTGGTGATGCGCTTCAATAGGCTCCCGTTCAAACGAGCTGCCTCAGTTCCCTAAAGCAGCTACTGGGGGAAATACTTCCCAGGGCTGGGCAGAGCTGCCAGAAGCCACACCTGGATGGGGAGGCTGTGGCGGCCGGGGCAGTCAGAGCTGCTGCACTTGTGCGAGCTCCAGGAGCACAAGGCTGAGGAACCGCGCCGTGCCCGCCTGCAGCACAGCCGGCCGCTGCCCGCCCTATTGCCCACAGGCAGCAAAGTTCTCCGAAAGATGTGCACCTACAACTACTGCTGCCTGAGCCAGTACCAGTGACAAAACAGCAAACTCCACCGAGGGACACTACCCCTACCACATTTTTTTGGTGACTGATGAAAAAATAAAGCTATTTAGGGCACAGAAAAATAGAAGGCTGTCAAGTCTTGCCAATGGCAGAATCAGCCATCAGATCTCCCATCAGTTAACCTGTTCCTATAAGCCTTCAAACAGTATTGCTGTTCCCAGAACAATGTGTTCTGGCACTTGCCTCTACTATTAGAAAGGTTTCTCCAAAGTTGTAGGCTGTTTTTTTTTGTTTCAACTACAGTTTATATTAATAATCTATAACCCTTTCACCACAGACACAGCGAATGCTGATCTTCTGGAACAGCCTGTAGATCACCAGACTTTTACTTCCCCCTTCTTCTAGTTCTCCCTTCTTTCAGCCAACAACTCCCCTTTTTCCCAGCTCTGCTCACGACTACCCAGAACTGCTCTACAACTGTACCACTTCTACAGTGATTGACTACATCAGAACTGATTGAGTTCTACCAGTGAGCAGAGACTTGGAATTTTACCACCATTAAAAGAATTAACATAGTTCAGAACACATGTCAATCAAGTAGTTGAAAAAAATTAAAAGAATTAGTGGTTCTACCATGCTAGTGATTCTGTTGTGCAGGGTACATTTTGTGAACAGCTGGATAATGCAAACTGAGCTGCAATTTGCAACTTCATGTTTCAGGCTCTCTATTGTGCTTACAAGAAAATAAATCTCGTAGGGAAATCCTGAAATTAACAGAAAATTAAATTATGAAAAGGCAGAAGTACACACTGTACAATAAGTGGTTGATGATGTATTTATGTCATTAAGCTGTTCACTCATGCATTTTCACAATTCATATGAAGACAGGTTTGTTCAAGTAACAGATAACTAATATATTCAGCTAAACCCCCCAAACCAGTAAACCAGCTTCAGGAAGAAGAACCATATATTACTTTCTATTACTTATTTTGGCAAACAAATAGCAAGATTCATAGCATCAGGACACTTAGTTTGAGCAAAAAGTTGATGGTACCAACACTATGTTTTGACTTGAAAAATTATTTGCTTCATAATAATGTAATCAGAAGCTTATGAACTGATTACTTCAAGTTCCTTAGCTACAGCTTTGTTAAAATTGCTTTAGAAAAAGAAATTTTAACATGATTAAGATTACTGATGTATTCAGGAAGACTAAAGCCAGCAATGTTTAAAATGAACATAAAATATAACCAAAAATTTTCAAACATGTAAAACAATGCTGCACATATTTCAACATACAGACTATACTTTTACTACAATTAACTTTCTTTTTCAGACTGCTTCAGTATAAGGAAGTTGAAAATTATATATTCCACCTAGCATTTGATTTCTTCAAGATCAAGAACTTTGAAACAACGAAGTGTTATAATGTTGGAAACAAAATACAGTTTATGCACTTCTAGGGAGCTCAATTATTTTGACATTTATTCATATGTTTTACTGATACTCAGTGAAACTGTGGATGAGAATGAACAAATGTACAAGCAGGCATTAAAACATCCAGTTAGACATCATTCCAGTATTTTAAAACTGTTAAGAATGCCAAAGAAAGATGTGTGACAAACTGTTGCACTCCTTTTGCATAGCTAGATTTTTTGGGTGACAAAGACAGAAGCTGCTCACATGAGTGTAAAAATGTTTGAATTCCCTTTTTTGATTCTCACCAAGAACATTGGAATGCAGGTCTTGGACATCAAGGCAAGCGAATTTCCTTTTATTTTAAAATGAAACACTCATTTATAAATTTCTTAAGTTTCTCTCCAAATACTTTCTAAAAAGGAAATTAAAATGTTTTGTGTTCTGACCTGGACAGATAAGCAGGGAATAAGCATCACAAAACTACCAGATGCTATCACTGGTCGATGTTGTTTAGTTTACAATTCTGACCTGGACAGATAAGCAGGGAATAAGCATCACAAAACTACCAGATGAATCTATCACTGGTTGATGTTGTTTAGTTTACAACTAAATGTTCCACCAGTAATTATGGAAAATTCTAAATACAGTTGGTCCAGCTCTTACAGGTGTAATGCAGCAATGAGAAATGTTATTGGACACCACTGAACATCCATGGCCAGGTTTCCACAAGGAAGGAATGAGTTCTGTAATAGTTGAAACAAGTACATATATCTGTAGTATCCAAACAAAGGGATGTTTCCAGAATTTTTTTGGTTTTGTTCCTCCTATGTATTTTGGAGCAGAATGTTTCACTTTGCATCTCTGCATCCCAATCATGTAGCACTGAAAGTACTACTGAAAGTAGTAACCATTGATGCTGGAAAATAAATATACAGTCTTACTAAATTTTCCATCAAAGTTTGGTACCTAAGTTGTAAGGCAGGAGTGGGAGTGGTCCCTTTTCAAATCTAGACTGGTATATTATTTTCCACTATTCAGTTACTACTGAGATATGATATCATATGATATGATACTATTCAGTTACTACTGACTTTCCATAAACTGTTCTCATACCAAATTTCTAACCTTTTTAAAAAATTATACCTGCAAGTAAGATTAAGAAGAAGCTGTTTTAAGTACCCACTGTTGTGGTGAGCAACAAGATTTCAGGGGAAGTCTGAAAATGCTGTACTCCAAAAAATGAATTTTTACATTCATTCTGACAAGCTGGAGTGCAAAACTTCCATATACTAAGCAGTCAAATGATTACAGACAACATGGCACCAAATATTTAGAGAACTTAAAAAAATATCGTGAACTTGCTTTCTCAAGTAGAAGAGAACTAACAGTTTGAATGCGAAGGAAAGAGAAATGCATTTCTGTTCTGTCCTATGTGCACTCTTAGTCCCTATTCACACTCATTTAAAAACATCTCATTTAAAACATTCACCATGTTGTGTGATGATCAAAGTCATCCAGCTAGACTCCTACATAACAGTGGTTGTTGAAGAAAATCCAAAATACCATTTATACAACAGTCTTTTGGAGTACTGCAAGTCCTCTTGCAATGAAGACTAAATTGCATTCTGAAAAAAAAAGACAATATTCAAAGCAGACAAATGTCAGTTTCATCAACAATACTTTTCCCTTTAGGACTCCTCAGAAATCCTCCAAGGGGCTCAATTCCCTGCCAGAAGTTATTCTATCCTAAAAGTGACCAAGAAAAGATATATATTTCTTTTGTATTTACATATTATACATATTTACATTTTCTTTAATATTACAGTTGCTGAAGAAAAAAAAATCCTGGATACAGGTTTATAATCTGCTTTCAACTGTCCCAACAGTATTTTTTTTTCCCTTTCAAAAAATTTACAAGTCCTCTTCGGGTCCTTTGGAAGCTAGATACAGTCCACATTCCGCAGGCCACCATCCATGGTCAAGGCACCAAATCTAAACCATAAAAACAGTATTATTTTTAGGTGGTTGACTAGACTATAAAATCAATCTTTAATTTGTTTATTTCCCTTGCTACATGCCAACAGAGGCATTTTTACCTAACTTTTATATCTGCAAAGATGGAAGACGGGGGAAAGCTTTGCTGCAAGTATGGGACTGGGAGTGGGGAACAAAACAAAACCAATTCAGCTTGAAGCTAAACTCCACTCTACCAGCAATTTACCCTGGAACCTTCAGGAGATACTTATTTTTAGATATTTTCTCATCTTGATAGGAAAAAAAAAATAAAATCAGTCTGTATGTGATAATGACAATACCATCTCAGGATTGTAAGAAACATGTTTGCCTCTTCACTTTACTTAAGCAATCTGAAAACTGCAAAATCATTAATTCAGATTGGTGTAATTCCACAGCTGTCAAAAATAACATCTAAAAGGGAGGAATTAAAAGACACCACTGTATTGCTGCAACAGTATTGTTTGTAAATTCAGAATTGATTTGTCTGTGTGACAGGAATTTTTATTATATTTATATATTATAATATATTATAGTATATTATTTTTATTTTTATATTATTTTATTAAATTTTAATATTTATAGCTAAACCAAAGTAACATGAGAAAACTGCAAAATCATTAATTCAGATTGGTGTAATTCCACAGCTGTCAAAAATAACATCTAAAAGGGAGGAATTAAAAGACACCACTGTATTGCTGCAACAGTATTGTTTGTAAATTCAGAATTGATTTGTCTGTGTGACAGGAATTTTTATTATATTTATATATTATAGTATATTATAGTATATTATTTTTATATTATTTTATTAAATTTTAATATTTATAGCTAAACCAAAGTAACATGAAACAAAAATGCCACAAAAATTGCTGTAAGCTCATTCTGACATCGCCATGTTCCAAGGTTTTAAGTAATCATTTTTTTATATGCCTCACTTGCCCAGCTCTAAATATATTTACAGTTAAAGACATTAAAGAATTGTTCCCTTAGTTTATATTCTGGATCTGTAAAATGTACCAAATTAAGCCTGTCCCTAGTTTCAGGCCCAAAAGGGAAAACAATTACTTGCCTTTCCAAAATGTGATTGTTTTCAGCCAGCTCTTTAACAACACCTTCCATTTCCTCCTTTAGTTTCTTCATCCTGTAGTAACCAGAAGCAAAAGAAAGATTAAAGTTTTTATTGGGATAGACACCTGCTCTGATCATTCACCACCACAGTTTTCAGCAACTTGCCATTACATACAAAATAAGGGACAGGTAAGTTGTTTATTTACAAAGAGACAGATGATAAATCAGTGCTGTCCCCCACTCACTTCCCAATGTGTGCCACCACTACAGCAACCTAGAATTCTTGATCTTTATACACTAAGTAATTTAATTTTTTTTTTCAATTTCCCTGTATAGCAAGCATACAGTATTACATTAATCCCATTACAAAATTCTCACCCAAGAGTCATTTCCACTAATGTGTTTGAGCTTGGATAGACTGTGTTCATCGTATGTTTCATCCCACTGGAAGCTGCAAACATTTTCTGTGGCAGGGCATCTTGTAACTGTAACAGACAAAAAGGAAATTTAAGTTGCAATAGAAGTTGTCATGTATATTTTGATGCCCACCTTTAAATCCTTTTTTAAATTCTCTGTTGCTGTGATATCTCATAAACTCATTACAGTACTAAGGAGGCTGATATGCTCCAAGATGAGATCATCACAGCAAGTTTTTATTGACATGACCAATAATTCCCTGGTTTGTTCCACCTTCTTATCTAATACTTTCATAATAAACTCTGGAAAGGAAGAAATATCTATTTGTTATGTCTGTTATGTCCTAATCAATGGATTGGTGGCGCAACTAAAATACAAATAACAACTAAAATGCTTCTGTCCACCATTCCTAAACTGATTTTACAATTAGCAAAGGCTTTTTGTTCATTTATCTTTTCTTTCTAAAAAATAATAATTTTACTGCATGGAAATGGTCTGATTCTCTCAATTTTGAGGTAATTCTGGTAAATTTGCATCCTGCAGAGTTACTGTCCAGATCATTAGTTTAACGTCCTTAAATATGCATCCCATCATCTTGACTATGGAAGCAGCATTTTTATACTTCCTAAGAGAATTAGGATAATCCTCTATGTCCTCTGAAAATATTACGGTAACAGTTGCACAGATCATTCCTCAATGAACCCATATCCATTTGCACAGATTTTTTTTGAGGGGGAAATGCTAACATTAGCAAAAAAACCCCAAATCATCCAAACCCACAAACTTCACCAAAAAAACCCCATGCAAATAAAAAAACCCCACCACCCCAAACCAAATTAGGCCTACCAAATTCCAAAATCAAGTTACAATTCACAAAATCCCATTATTCAACTATTCAAAAAATAACACCATTCAGTGTGTAGTCCACACTGACATGGCAATGAAGCTCCTGCAGACAACATAGAGCACCCACAAAGGCCAGTATTTAAATACAACTGCATTAATGTAAGACTCACTCTTAGCAACACTATTGACATGAAAATATGTGGAAGTCTTTTAACTATGCAAATGCTACCCATAATTTTGAAGCATTCTACCTCATTTATATAATCCTGGTATTTGGACACCTCTTCTTCAATACCAAAACACTGGTTGGTGAGAGCCAGTAATTGCTTCCTTGTGTGAAGCATTTTCCTAAAAGAGAAAAAGTTTTCTTTTAAGAGCTGCTTATATAAAACTGCTGTGATGAATATTACCAAATATTAAAGAAATCAATAGCTTGCCTTGTCCAGTCCTCAGCTTTGTCCAAAAATGTCTCATACTTGCTGACACATTCATCTTTGAAAAGAGCTATGGCTTTTGTAGCATGCAAATACAGCTTCTGCCTGCAACACAGAAACAACCAAACCAGTGTCATACTGTTTTCAAAACCCCATTCCTCTTAACTTTCTTAAATTTGGAGAAAGGTTTGTGGACTTAAAATCTGTGCAGTCACCTTTATTCAGACCGTTGTAATGTGTAAGAACTCAACATTCTACAGGAACGGACAATTTATGTTTCAAAAATATACCCTAGCAGGGAGGAAGAAAATTATATGAAGCACTTAGTTTGTATTTGTATTCATATTTGTATATGAATAAATGGTCAAATGTCTTATTTGAGTCAGCTGGTATATTCAGAATTCTAAATGGAAAGGACAAAAGTCCTAATTATTTCATATTTGCCTACTGCAGATACTTGGAACTTCTAGCATATATGAATAATCCTTTGCATTGAGTAACATACATGCAAGAAAAAGGAGTTTTGTGTGAGCCTAATTTTATGACAAGAGGAGAAA